TTGAACCTGGGGATGGGGGCATAGAAGTTGCTGTGAGCCAATATGGCGTCCCTTAACTCCAGCCTGGGTGAAAGAGCAATACTTCGTCTCAAAAAAAAAAAAAAAAAAAAAAAAAAGAAAGAAAAAAGAAAAAGAAAAACAGTTTCTGTGAGCATTTTTCTTATCTTTTGGTAGAATTACTCATTTCTCTTGGGCCAATACAGTTGTACCTGTTTTCAATTTCTTGAATTTACTAGGCATCGTTTAGCTGGTTAGATGGAATAGCTTTGGGCTTTGTTAGGCTGTGGAAGTTTCTGGAGCATAAATATAACTTTCTAGTCTTAGAATACAAGTAAACAAATGGGATCATTTTTCATGTTAGGAAAAGTAATTTGCAATAAAGCACAGCATTTAGTCTTCTTAGCACTACAGACAGTTTGAATAGGTGTTCTTATTTGCAAAACTGGCATATTTGTCAGAATTCTTTTTTGTTCATTTGCAAATGATAGACACCCAACTCAAACCAACTTTAGTCAAAAAGAGAATGTAATGACTCGAGTATCCAGCTGCCTTCAGGTTTGGCTGGATTCAGGTGTTTAAACAATGTCATCAACATCTGGCTCCTCTTTCTGTTTATCTCTTCGTTCTGTTCTCCTCCCTGTTGGCATCACTCTTAGGCCCTTCTCCACTGGTGACCACTGGCAGCTTCAAGTCTAAAATTTCCTAACTCTGGCCAGGTGCAGTGGCTAACACCTGCAATCCTAGCACTTTGGATCTGACCTCAAGCCGAGATCAGATCACTTGAGCCCAGGAGTTTGAAACCAGCCTGGGCAACACAGAGAAATCCTGTCTCTATAAAAATGCAAAAATTAACCAGGCATGGTGGTGCACAGCTGTAGTACCAGCTACTCAGAAGGTTGAGGGAGGAGCCTCACCTAAGCTTGGGAGGTCGAGGTTGCATTGAGCTGTGATCATGCCACTGCACTCCAGCCTGGATGGCAGAGTGAGAACCTGTCTCAAAAAATAAAATAAAATAAAATTTCCTAGCTCCAAGGCCAGCAGAAGACAGAGCTTCTCTCTTCCCTACAGTTCTGATAAAACTCCTAGAATTGAATCTCACTGGATTTAACTGGGTCGTATGCTCTGATGTAATCAATGTCGCCAGGAAGAAAATAATTCTGAGGGGTCATATTCCACACTTGGCCCACAGGGACTGACAGTGTGGGAGAGGTGTTACCCAGGGAAAAGTGTTAACCACAAAAGCAAGAAATGGATGCCGTGCAGGGACACAATAATGAAACACAGATGTCAACTATGCTGAGAAATATAAATGAGGGTTGGCACACAGACGTTCTGAGACTGCAGGTGTTGGCAGAAATTTAATATTGTGTTAGCTTTGATTACTCAAGTCTAACCCTTGGCATTTACAGAGAGATAAACTTGTAAAAGTTGGCTGAGCTTTAAAAATGTTCTACTTCCTTCTTTCAAAAACATCACTGTTCATCTTATCATGCTGGCTTGAAACTGTAGAGATATACTTGTCTTTTATTTTCCTTCTCACCCTTTCCCTATGGGATCAGCCAACAAATTCTATTGATTCTTTCTTTAAATTTTCCCCCTACTAATTACTTTTTTTCTCTGTTCCCTCTGACATGACATCGGAAGCTCCAAGCTTATGTATATATTCTACCCCCTTAGACACCTCAGTGAAGTAAGAGTACCTCTTTCCCAGTAAGCCTTGTCCTGGTCCTGGAGGACTGACTGGGTTTACATGCCCATTCTTGAGCCAAATCCTGTGGCCAGAGGGATCGTGGACACCTGAGTCATGTGACCATCCTGGAGCTGGTCAGCCGGTCAGGAGTGCAATCAGCCCTTCCGGTATCACCTGGACCAAGAGCAAGGGAGGGAATGATGCCCAGAGGAAACCCAGGACATTGATATCAACAGAATGGGAAGTGGGTAGTAGACAAATAAAAACAACAGATATCCAGCACACTTAGAAATGAACACTGGAGGCCAGGTGCGGTGGCTCACACCTGTAATCCCAGCACTTTGGGAGGCTGAGGCAGGAGGATCATTTGAGCTCAGGAGTTCAAGATCAACCTGGGCAATAACATAGGGAGACCCCATCTCTACAGAAAATGAAAAAATTAGCTGGGCATAGTGATGCATGCTTGTGGTCCTAGCTACTCGGGAGGCTGGGGTGGGAGGATCGCTTGAGTCCCAAGAGATTGAGGCTGCAGTGAGCTATGTGTACCATTGCACTCCAGCCTGGGTGACAGAGAGAGACCCTGTGAGAGAGAGAGAGAGAGAGAGAAAGAGAGAGAGAGAGAGAGAAAGAAAGAAAGAAAAAAAGAAAGAAAGAAAGATCAACTACGCATGGTGGCTCATGTGTGTAATCCAAGCATTTCGGGAGGCCGAGACGGGTGGATCACCTGAGGTCAGGAGTTGGAGACCAGCCTGGCCAACATGGTGAAACCCTGTCTCTACTAAAAATACAAAAATTAGCTGGATGTGGTGGTGTACACTTGTAATCCCAGCTACTCAGGAGGCTGAGGCAGGAGAATTGCTTGAAGCCAGGAGGCAGAGGTTGCAGTGGGCCAAGATTGTGCCACTGCACTCCAGCTTAGGCTACAGAGTGAGACTCCATATCAAAAAAAGAAAATAAAAGAAAATCAAAACTACATCACCTCTTATTTCAAAGTGTTAAAAGAAAAACTTTAGACAAATTAAAAGTAACAGAGTTTAATCAAGCAAAGAATGATTTGCTAATGGGACAGCCTCCCCAGCCAGAATAGGTTCTTAGGGACTTAGGTGCTGCCACATGTTGGGTCAAAGAAGATTTATGGACAAGAAAAGGAAAGTGACGTAGAAAAAATGGAAGTGAGGTACAGGAACAATGGATTGGTTACAGCTCAGCATTTACCTTATTTGAACACAGTTTGAACAATTGGCTGCCTGTGATTGGCCGAATTCAGTGATTGGTACAAGAATAGGTTACAGTCTGTTGACACCTCCACTTAGGTCACAGTTCATTATGTACAGAGAACTCTTTAGGCCAAACTTAAAATATGTTAGGAGGTAGCTTTGGGATAAATTTAACAAAAGTATGCTGTGGTCTGTAGATCGGAGCTTATGGAGCTCATAAAATCTTATTTTCAAATTGGAAGGGGTCATAGCAATTGTCTACGTATGCCAGTCCTCTAGTTTCCATTAACTATTCTTCTTTTATGCACTCATATTAATTTATGCTTTGAACTCTAGAACCTCAAGTGTAATGAAAAAGCACAAAAAGTCCTTGTTTCTTTCAATCCTTTGATTCACTGGTCCCCTCCCCCATAACCAAGGGAATATATTGTTCAAGATGTAAGCTCAGTTGCATGTGTTAAAGACCACAAAAACAGTGGTTTAAACAAGATAATTTTATTTCTCTCTCACATGATAGTCTGAGCTGATACAATGGCTGTGCTCTGTGAAGTCACCAGCAACTCGGCATCCTTTCCTCTGTTGTGCGTTCATTCCAAATGCAGGTCTTGGCTTTGTGTGCGAGACCCAAGATGGTGCACCGTCATTTCCGCATTCCGGCCCACAGGAAGCAAGATGGAGAAAGGGAGGAATAACTTCTTTCCTCTAATAGCACAGCCTGGAAATTGCATGTATCACTGCTGCTCTCATCCCATTGACCACCCTCATGTTCATACCTTGGTGCAAGAGAAGCTGGAAGCATAGTCTTTATTCTAGGCAGTTGTGTACCCAACTACGAAGGAAAGGAGAACAGATACTGGAAGATAACCAGCAATCTCTGCAGGGAACGAAGGGAAAAAAAATCTGACTTTTTCTTTTCTTCTTGTTTTTCAGGTGAAAAAAAAAAAAAAAAGATCCCTGAGTAATTGCAAATGCTGGGACAGTTTACCACTCCAAGGTGAAGAGTCCGTACCAACATGTCTGCCTACTACAGGAATAACGGATCTGAGGAAGACCCAGATTACCCTGGCTATTCAGGGTCTCAGAACCGTATGCAGGGGTATTTGAAAACTCAGGGTTATCCAGATGTTCCAAGTCCTCTGAACAATCCAGACTACCCTGGCCCCAGGAACAATCCATACTCTGTAGCCTCCAGAACACGTCCAGACTATCCAGGGTCTCTAGCAGAACCAAATTATCCTGGATCTCTGAGTAATCCAGACTATTCTGGCACCAGAAGCAATGCATACTCTGCAGCCTCTAGAACAAGCCCAGACCATCCTACCTCTCTACCAGAGCCAGATTATAGTGAATTTCAGAGTCATCCATACCACCAAGCATCATCCAGACAGCCAGACTACCTTGGATCTCAACGAAATCCTGATTTTGCAGGCTCTAGCAGCAGTGGAAACTATGCACGCTCCAGAACACATCCAGATCATTTTGGCTCCTTAGAACCAGACTACCCTGGAGCTCAGAGCAACTCTGATCATCCTGGACCTAGAGCCAATTTGAACCATCCAGGCTCCAGAAGGAATCTAGAACATACAAGTTTTAGAATCAATCCGTACACAGACTCTCTGGGAAAGCCTGATTACCCAGGCGCTGACATTCAACCTAACTCTCCACCCTTTTTTGGGGAGCCAGACTATCCCGGCACTGAGGACAATCAGAACTTGCCAAGCACTTGGAGAGAACCTGATTATTCAGATGCTGAGAATGGTCATGATTATGACTCTTCTGAGACCCCAAAGATGACCAGGGGGTAAGTTCAGGTATATATCCCTTCATTGGGAGTGTAGGCTGAGTGCTGGACCATTAAGTCAATGGAATTTGGTTGGTGTGGTTTAGATTAGGGATATATATGATGGTTTCCATGACCTGAAGTTGTGGTGAAACTCACATACCTATCTGTAGACCTCACCTGGGCCATGGACTGTCAGTTTGAGGCTTCAAGCCCTTACCTGAACTTAATCTTTCACCATCTCTTCCTTGGATCACCTTCCCATTATCCCACCTCTTCCTAATTCAATCCCTGTAAGACATCTAGATCCACACTGTTTTGACCCTGCTACATTGCCAGCAAGGTTAAGGCTTGACACTCACAAATCCAAACACTTTAATCGAAATTACATCAATAGTAATGAATTGTTATCCAGAAAATCTTTTGGAGATCTAACTCCATGAAGTCAATTAGTTTTTTGTGTAATATGTTTGCACCACTTCTTTGGTTTTTTGGGTCATTGTTTCTTTTTTCTTTTTTCTTTTTTCTTGAGACAGGGTCTTGCTGTGTCGCCCAGGCTGGAGGGCAGTGGCACAATCATAGCTCACCACAGCCTCAACCTCCTGGACTCAATTGATCCTCCCGCCTCAGCCTCCCAAGTAGCTGGGACTACAGGTGTGCACCTATTATGCCCGGCTAATTTTTTATTTTTTTGTAGAGATGGTGTTTCGCCATGTTGCCCAGGCTAGTCTTAAAGAAGGCTCCCAACTGCTGGGATTATAGGCATAAGCCACCATGCCTGGCCATGTTTGCACCTCTTCTGATTTTTACACTTTTATTTCTATTTTACTGAGATTGTCAGAATTGATGACTTTTCAGCAAAACTTTACTGCAGGTTTGATTCACTGATTATCTGCACTATTTGAATCTAATTTTATCAATTATTATTTTCACCATTTTCAGTATCCCTTTAAGGCCATTGTTTTATGTTGTTATTTATTTATTTGTTCATTTTTTGGGACGGAGTTTCACTCTTGTTGCCCAGGCTGGAGTGCAATGGCATGATCGTGGCTCACCACAGCCTCCACCTCCCGGGTTCAATCGATTCTCTTACCTCAGCCTCCTGAGTAGCTGGGATTACAGGCGTGAGCCACTGCACCTGGCCTAAGGCCATTTTTAAATAGCAAGTCCAGTTTTTCCAGGTTTAGATTCTACAGATCTAAATTTTGTCTAAAAGAGTTTGATCTTCTGTCAATTTTCTTTCCTTGACAAATTTTACCAGATGCAGTTCTGGACATTGACAGCATTAGTCTGGGTGACTTAGTTCTATCAAATCTAATTTTTCTTGGGTTAAGTTTTTTCACGTTTATGTTGCCAACAAAATGTAATTTTTTTTTTTTTTTTTTTGAGACAGAGTCTCACTCTGTCATCCAGGCTGGAGTGCAGTGGCTCAGTCTCGGCTCACTGCAACCTCTGTCTCTCAGGTTCAAGTGATTCTCCTGCCTCAGCCTCCCAAGCAGCTGGGATTACAGGCATGCACCACCATGCCCAGCTAGTTTTTGTATTTTTAGTAGAGACAGGGTTTCACCATGTTGGCCAGGCTGGTCTTGAGCTACTGACCTCAAATGATATGCTTGCCTCAGCCTCTCAAAGTGCTGGGATTACAGGCGCGAGCCACTGTGCCCAATCTAGGATGTGATTTTTTAAAGTCAGTTTGTGGTTTAATCAGTAAATATGTTTACCATGTGAAGTTTTAACCAACATGAGTCTGATTTTGCATTTACTGTTTCTACTAGTAATATTTACGAATTTGATAAAAAAAAAAAACTGGTGGCTTGTGTTTATCTCTAGGAACAAGGATATAGGACTTGGGTATGCAGCAGTCATGATGTCTTTAGAACCCAAATAGTAGGATTAACAGGACCAGGTAGGCCGGGCGCGGTGGCTCACGCCTGTAATCCCAGCACTTTGGGAGGCCGAGATGGGCGGATCGCAAGGTCAGGAGATCGAGACCATCCTGGCTAACACGGTGAAACCCCATCTCTACTAAAAATACAAAAAAAAAAATTAGCCGGGCATGGTGGCGGGCGCCTGTAGTCCCAGCTACACGGGAGGCTGAGGCAGGAGAATGGCGTGAACCCGGGGGGCGGAGCTTGCAGTGAGCTGACATTGCGCCACTGCACTCCAGCCTGGACAACAGAGTGAGACTCCGTCTCAAAAAAAAAAAAAAAAAAAAACCGGACCAGGTAAAAATGTCCTCCTTGGTCTTATCACCCACTGCCTGAGTCATCATTCCAAAGCCCACCTTTGATCCTGTCACTCCTTTGCTTTTCATCTTCCATGGGTCCCCATAGCCTTTGGAGAAAGGCCACCCAACTTCACTTATAGAACGTTTATGAATAAGGATACGTCATGTTAATGTAAGATGCCAGCCAAAGACCAGCCTGACTTATCTCCTCTTAAGTCTCCTGTCTGCCCCCTGCCTTGACCCTATACTCTGGGTCAGTGGTTCTTGACTTTGGCTGATCCTTAGCATTACCCAGTTATCTGAGGAACTTTAAAAATAATACAGATGCCTCAGCCAAACTTTCAGAACTTCTGATTTAATTCTCCAGGATGAGGCTTGGGAATTGATATATGTAGTAAATTGAGAATCATTACTCATTAATTGATTTTCATAGCGTTTCCTTTATATATTCAGCACTTTCTGGCCTCACACCTTTTTTTATGCTGTTCTTCATCCATCCTTGGAATGCCCTCCCCCTATGTATGAATGTGTCCTCCGAATTCCCGCTCAGATGTATCTTTTCCACGCAGATTTCTCCCAGAACTCTCAGCAAGAATTCTCCTTCCTCTGAACTCCTTGGGCCTGTCTTCGGATACTCACCAGTTTCTACTTGTAGTATGATTGTTCATAGCTGTGTCTAAGAAGCTGTACCAACTTGTACTGTGAGCTTCTTGAGGGCAGATACCCTATGTTTTCCTCTTTGTATTCTTACCTCCTAGCCCATGCCTAACTCAGGGTTGGCACTTAGCCTGCATTCGTGGAATGCAATGGAATGGATGGATGGATGGATGAATACGTTAATGAATGGATGGATGCATGGATGGATAGATGAATACATGGGTGGATGAATGTATATATGGTTGGATGGTAGGTAAATGGATGGATGAATACATGAGTGAATGGATGGATACATGGATGGATAGATGAATACATGGATGGATGAATGTATGTATGGTTGGATGGATGGTAAATGGATGGATGAATACATGAGTGAATGGATGGATACATGGATGGATAGATGGATAAATGGATGAATCAATGGATGGATGAATGGATGGATGAATGGATAAATGGATGGATAAATACATGATTGAATGGATGGATACATGGATGGATAGATGGATGGTTGAATGTATGGATGGATAAATGGATGGATGGATAAATAAATGGATGAATACATCATTGAATGGATGGATGCATGGACGGATGGATGGATGGGTGGATGGATGGATGGATGGATGGATGGATGGATGACAATCCTTACTATACTCTTGGCTGGAGAGTGATCCATCATTTTGGATTTTAGGGCACTCAGCAGAATATCTTCAATCCAGCCCTTGTTTCACCACAGGAGTGACGGCCCCTTGGGCAACCTTTGGGGAGAGAATGAAGATTACCCTGAAGGCATTGAAATGGCATCCATGGAGATGGCAAACTCATATGGCCACTCTCTGCCGGGTGCTCCTGGAAATGGCTATGGTAAGCATTTGTTAAGCCGGATCATATCTTGGGAATAAAATAAAATCAGTGGATTTAGGAGTGCAGTCGTTAAGGAGACTTGGCAATAGGAGAATTGGTGTATCCTTCCAATCTCAGAGACCCTTTTTTAACATACAAAAGTTGAGAATTCAGTGTTTAGAGAAGCCAAGTTAATTGTCACCAATTATTTTAAAAAACGCCAGGTAAGGGTTGTGGAAAATGGGGACGTGTACACCCTGTGCCTGCTGGAGGTGGTGAAGCTCAGTCCACAGTGGTTATGTGGCAATGTGGGCTCATTGTGGTGAGATCCTCATATTTTTCAGAAGCCATATATTTGGGGTTTTATGTGAAACCTGATGTTTATGTGTTCCAAAATAATTTTTAAAAGTAAAAACAGTGATCTTAGCAAGCAAAATCACATTTTTTGTTAGCTGCCAGTGGCCACCTGTAGTTTAGCATATCCTAAAGTCATTCAGGCAATCAGCACATACGTGTTCAGAACCTACCGAGGGAAAAGGGAGTTAAGAGGTAGCTCTGCCCTCATGTTATTTAAAGTCTAAATAGATCAACAAAAGTGCTACATCAATACTAAAGAAAAGGCCAGGTGTGGTGGCTCACGCCTGTAATCCCAGCACTTTGGGAGGCCGAGGCAGGCAGATCACCTGAGGTCAGGAGTTTGAGACCAGCCTGGCCAACATAGTGAAACCCTGTCTCTACTAAAAATACAAAAATTAGCCAGGTGCAGTGGAGGGCACCTGTAATGCCAGCTATTCAGGAGGGTGAGGCAGAAGAATCACTTGAACCCAGGAGGCGGAGGTTGCAGTGAGCCAAGATCACACCACTGCACTCCAGCCTGGGCAATATAGCAAGACTCTGTTAAAAAAAAAAAAAAGACTAAAGAAAGTTAGCAAGCAAACTATTAATATTTGAAAAATCATGTTGTCCTCATAATTGGTTGTGTATATAGGTAAGATGCTTAGCTCCAGGAGGCAAAGGAAATTCTAAACAGTTCTTTTTTTTTTTTAGACTGTCCTGCTCTGTCACCCAGGCTGATCATAGCTCACTGCAGCCTCGAACTCCTAGGCTCAAGCAATCCTCCCATCTCAGCCTCCCCAGTAGCAGGGACTGCAGTTGCATGCCACCATGCCTGGCACTTTTTTTATGCTTGAGAAAGATGGGGTCTTGCTATGTTGCCTGGGCTGGTCTTGAACTCCTAGCTTCAAGCAATCCTCCAGTCTCGGCCTCCCAAAGTACTGGGATTACAGGTTTGAACCTGGGCCAATTCTGAACAGTTCTTAGTTTCCAGGAGGGAGAAAAGACGTGTTCCAGGAAGCCATTTGATGGCACAAGAGAAAAAAAAAAAGCCAGGCAATGTTAAAGGAATTTGGAGCCTGTGGAGGTCAGAAAAGGGAGAAAGTGTTCAGCCAATAAGAAGAGAACAAGAGACCCAAGCGCTGGGAGGTGCAGATGGAGGATTGATGAGCCTTGAGGAGTAGATGGGGAAGATTTGGAAGAAGGCAGAGAGGAGGGGACAGGATGCATAGCCCTGTACTAATGAAAACACTGACTGTTAACACAGAAAATTTTCATTCCGGGCCTAATTTTAAAAATTAGCTGGGCATGGTGGCACACACCTGGGGTCCCAGCTACTTGGGAGACTGACACAGGAGGATCACTTGAGCCTGGGAGGTTGAGCTGCAGTGGGCCATGATTGTACCACTGCACTCTGGCCTGAGTGAGAAAGCGAGACCCTGTTACAAATAAAGAAAGGACAGGACAGGACAGGACAGGACAGGACAGGACAGGAAAGGAAAGGAAAGGAAAGGAAAGGAAAGGAAAGGAAAGGAAAGGAAAGGAAAGGGAGGGAAGGGAGGGAAGGGGAGGGG